GGACACAGCACTCCAGATGCGGCCTCACCAGAGCAAAGTAGAGGGGGAGGAGAGCCTACCTCAACCTCCTGGCCACACTCTTCTTAATGCACCCCAGGACACCATTGGCCTTCTTGGCCACAAGGGCACATTGATGGCTCATGGCCAACTTGTTGTCTACCAGGACTCCCAGGTCCTTCTTCGCAGAGCTGCTTTCCAGCAGGTTGACCCCCAGCCTATACTGGTGCATGGGGTTACTCCTCCCCAAGTGCAGGACCCTACACTTGCCCTTGTCGAACCTCCTCAGGTTCCTCTCCGTCCAGCTCTCCAGCCTGTCCAGGTCTCACTGAACAGCAGCACAGCCACAACATAGTAAAGTAACCAGTCAGTCACAAGTAATACTCCCTGGCACAACATAAAAAACCTGTAACCTGCCATCGTCTGATAAGCACATGACTTCATATGTCCTTTCCATTTCTGTTTTATTTCCATGACATTAATATACTACATTTCTTTGCAAAACATTGTACAATCCACACACAGTACTGTTTTACATATTAGTACTTCCAAATGTAACCCATGATAGCTCCCTTCACTATTCATACACCTACTTTAAAATCTTTCAGTTACTGATTTCATGTCAGTAATCTTTCTCCCATAATCTAATTAATGCGCCCAGTAAGATCTAGTAGTTACTGTAAAAAGTACAGCTGCACGAAGCACGAGTTCACTGTTGACTAGAGTTTTATATACTCTTCAAAAGCTGTTCCAATTGTATTAGCAATAGCGCTTATAAAACAGAGAGCTTTCTCAGAAGCGCGCAAGTTCCCTGACAGGGGTAATTGGCAGATCAAATACCACCCGAGTGCAAATGCTCTGCAGCCGCTGCCGGCTCCGTGAGGCGCCGCATTGGGCCTCATGCAGCAGGAGGCTGAACGCACCTACCTGTGCCAACGCGGGATGGTTACCCACCCAGGAGAGGCAGGCTGTCGGGGTCCCTTTATGAGCGATAGAGGAACTGAGAAGAGCCGTCTTCTGGACATCTCTCCCTTTGACTTCAGAAAAAATAAACATCTAACTCAAACTAGAAGCTTGAATTCAGCAGACCCACCAAAGAGATTCTCACTTTAAGAGTGTTTAGAATAAAAGGGAAATAAAGAACTAGATAAAAATCAGAAATATCGCATAAAAGCAAAAGTAAATCCACTATTGTGAATATCAGAAAGTAATTCTAAAATACTAAATAAGCATTTTTCTTCCTGCAAGGGACCTTTTGACTCTTTCATTCCTTTCCTGATTTGCGCAAGGTATTCCCTGCCCCGCCCATCCTTTTTAATGGAGGAAAAAAACCCCAAAAATTCCTCCCTCCTATCCCGCGTTTCTCTCCTCTAGCATCTACGGCAATCCCTCTGATGCGTAACATGACATCACTGCTTTTTAAACAGAATTCCCAAGTTATTTCATTAGCTACAGCTGGACCAAAACTGGTGATATATTGAGACTGAAACGTGTCCGAAGTCGTGCATTAGCACTGCAGAATTCTAATTCTAATACTGAGTGGCATTATGAAAAACTGTGTTAAATCCGTTATCATGTAGGCTTGCCTGCCAAGTTTCTTTCTGTCAAAGTGTTTCTTTTTCCTTGTTTAAGACAAACTTGCTGAGATTAGTCAAATTTAAATACCCAAATTCACAAAGCAGCCCCCCATGAATATCCTTAATATAATGGAGTCTCATCAGCAGATTTTTCTGGAACTACACTCACAGATTGATTAGTTCCCCCACACAGCTATTGTTTAAAAGATCTTCAAAGGGCCTGTTTACTAAAACAAGTGCCAATTGTGTTTTCAGTTGCATTCAAACTGCCTGCAGTGTGGGGCCACCACGCTAAACAAGAAGAACGCCTTTGTCAGCTGCAGTTTGAAATACTGTAAACAAATTGATATAAAGCTCCAGAAGGTTTACACCATAGCGTCAGCACTACTTCCTCTGACTACGCAACTCTGAACACACAAGTAAAGCTAACAGTATTTTAAAAAACCAACAGTATCCTGTAGCAACAGTATAAAAGGTTAACACACATCATCAGTCTATCTTCAGAGTTTCACACCACTCTGCATCACACTGGTGACGAAGCTGAGCAGCTTCCTGTAATTAGCGATAACATCCACTAGTGATCTCAGACAAAGTCTGTATTTCCTCTAATCCTAAATATTCTTAAATGAAAAACTGTTGTCGCAGGCTCCTATGAGGCCAGGATTTTACCTCCTCACTTTTTTTCGCATATTGAAGTCTACACTATGGTTGCCCTTGAAAGTGTTAACTTGGTTTCAAGACCAAGGTTTTCATTTAAATAGTTTTACAGGACCTTCTAAAAGGTAAAAGTACTTGTGAAATAATCTTAACTTGTGAAATAATCTCCACTTCCAACACGTTTCACACTCAGGACTGTTTCTGCAGAATGCTATGGGGAGGAGCAGGGAAGAGTGATAAATATGAGAGTTCAGACTCAGAGGGTACCATTCGTTATACTTCAGAAGGCACAATGGGAGAAAATGAAGATGAGACACACATAAAGATGAGGCACACAACAGTTAAAAAACAAAGTCTGTATATGTTAATCTTCCCCTAAAATATATGAGGAACCGCATCTACCTCTAACTTTGGTGTCAAATAAACTATGAAGATAAGCCAAGTATTCAAGGATTGCATTTATAGAAGAAATATAGATCGCGATGGCCATTACAGTACACTCCATCTTAATGCAAAAACGAATCCAATTTCTTTTTGATATGTTCAAAACCATCTTTCCCCATATAGTCCATGCGCCCTTCCTCCCATTTTCTCCGTTCGTCTTCTGGACTTGGCTCTTCTGGTTTGAAGCGAATAGACAGCTCCGAAACAGAATATGCGACCTTGTTCTGTGGGAAGAAGCAGAAAAGTGGGAAAACAGTCATTAGTTGTTCTCATTTCAGTGCTGTGAAGTTAAACCTTAAATGCCAGACTTCTGCTTTGTACAGTCCCAGTTAAAACAATAAACCAAGTAGTATTCAAACATTCTTTCTTGTTTTGATAATGTGATCTCATTTTCCCATGCCTTTACTACTTGTCATAGCATCTTTGAACACACCAAGCATTTATTGTACTTGTCTTAACTCAGACCTTGGCATCCCCAGCAACAACACAATGAGAATATTACAAATACGGCCTGCTTCGAGTACAGTACCTCCTACAATAAAGTGAAACCATGTGCCTGTGCAAATTTTGT